TAGTGACCTTAGGTGGTTGTGTATTTCCAAAATAAATGTTTGCCACTGGTAAGATATCATGTTTGGGGTTTCAGAAAGAACCATCAGGTATTCAATAAACATAAAAAGAAGGCTCGATTCACGTCTTTCTCATCGATTCTGTCTTTCATGCTGGTAAAGGGATGCAGGAAGAAATGAACCCAGTGACATAACAGTAGAAGCCAACATGCCCGAGAGCACTGCTGGTCGGAAGTCTTGCTGCTAAGTCCATTTTTACCTTTATGTGCCTGAACAAACTATGGATAAAGGCTCTTTCACATGCTCTTACTCGGGTTCGGGCACTATTCTCATTCCTATTCCGATTATACCTAAGAAGTCTAAGAATGGTTAGCAATGCCACGTGCTATCTGACTTCTTCCCATCACCCCTTTATAATAATAGCTAACGTGAGAGGCATGTCCAAGGTGTCAGACACTATACCCGGAGCTGTTCATGAACCACCTTGGTTAATTCTCATAGCAACTCTCTAAGGCAGGCTTTTAAATACCCTATTATATAAATGAGGTAAGGAGTACTTGAAAGGTTAAATAACTTGTCTAAAGTCACACAGCTAGTGAGCAGCATAATCAGAACTTAAGCCAGGTCTGCCCACTCCAAGTCTTAACTGGCTCTTGTTATAACTTCTTTGTTTTTATGTATAGCAATTGTATTGAATTTGAAACCTGAAAAACAAATCAATAGATTCATATCCTTGGAAGAAAACAAATAATGTCCTTTTTATCTCATTTTTTTTCTTGAGTTCTGCCACCCATTCAGAATCAATATACATGAAAATTAAACCTAAAGACAACATGATATAAGCACCTTTGCCAGAAAAATACCCTAATTTATCAATACCTGTTAAAATGATGCCTACAAACATCCAAACACAGAGGAAAATGTTTCCTGCCTTCGGACTGTACTCTGATGTGAGTTTTCCTTGCGCCAATGTGAACAAAATTCCAAATACCTAAAATTAAAAAAAGAGAATAATTTTGCATCAAGTTCTCTTCTTTAAAATAAGTGTAATGTTTTCCCCAAGAGTTTTCTTAGCTGTTTTATTCATATAATTTGGCCTCTAGAAACATTCACTGAAAGGTGGAATTTTTAAAACAAAAACAAGAGTCAAACTCATTATCCACTAGAATGTTCGCTCAGTAAATGAATCATCTCAGGCGCAAGAGAAATCAGAGGTTTACCTGTGCAGCAGCGTTAAGAAGACCAGATGAAGTGCCTTCTGATTCGGGGTAAGTAATTTCAACAGCAAATTCAAAACCCAAGGGGAGGTAACCAGTCATGAAGAAACTAGAAAAATAAATCCAGAATTATAGAAAGAATTAACAGAACGACAATATCATATATTGAGGCAATCATTCTACTTCTCAGGCCTATTCTAATGATCAAATAAGGAAATGTTTTGAAGTTGGTATGTGAAAGTAAAACACCATTTTGTTCACCAATCAGCATAAGGTGATAAGAACTGAGAAGCAAAACAATTCCTTTTTTTTCTTCCTGAGAAAAATTTACCTCAAGTTTTCTAAGTCAGTTGTCTTTCTAACTAAGGTTACTTGGACTAAGTAAGGCTTATCCATGTTTGGTATATCCACCTACATATGCCAAAAAACAATTTTAAACTACTTTTTATATTTCCAAAGAATATGTACACACTTATTTGCACAGGATGAGTCCTTTAAAGTTTAAAATATTAAAGAACCATTGGATAAACTTTAAAAATTAAAATCCACAGTAACAATATTTCAGAATTCCAACAGCATGCTATCATTCCTCCTAAGCACATTTGATGCTTACCCAAGCACCCCTCCAGTAACAAACACGATCAAAATGTATCCAAGGTCCAGTGTAAAAGTAAATATAACCATTCCACAAAAAGACAAAATGTAAACTATCAGAGTAGTCTGTCTAAAACGAAAACAAAAAAAAGTTAGTATTTTGTCTGCTATTCCAAGGCACATAAAAATCAATTGGCTAGCCATTGCTCTGTCCAAACAGTGATAAATTCTTTGGTTTTCAAGATTAGGTTTCCCTTATCTATGGAAAATGTTTCCACCAAAGCATGGACTTCAAAGCTTAAACTGAAGATGCAACAGCAGCTGACAAGCAGTCAGCCAAACCCATACTGTATCCAATGCTGACAGGAAGGAATATTCGTACGGATAAAATCATTTTTATGCCTCTAAATGGGATAGTTCCCTATCCGTACTTCAAGACTCAGATCAAATTCCACCTCTTCCAAGATTCCTTTCGTAACCACTGAAGCTTACACATTGTTTCTGCCAAACTTCCTTATCATTTTACTACCTAATTGGCACTTGACATCTATTGGGCTTATGACATGTATTTTAGTCTGTAATATTATTATCTAACTTTTCGTGTGGGAATGCCTTGTGTTCCCCATTTAGATCCCACAAGTGTTTTAACGACAGGAACCATTACTGTTTGCCACAACTCCTAGTTGAGAGCAATGCACACAATAGGAGTTTGGTGAGCGAATGGCAGTTACCCTGAGAAGACCAGGGCAACCAAGAACACATTTCTATACCTATCAAGTTTCTAATTATATAATGGACCAAAGGCTATTAATAAATTTAATCCTTTACATATGCCCCCTTCATCTATAAATTTAATAGATTTCATTCTAGCTACCATTGATAATGGTATCAAACATATCTCGGGCCTTGAAGGTTCAAAGGACAAAGTTCCATATTTCATTCATTCGTTTTATTCCATTCTATTCATTCATTCTCAGTTTCATTCATTCATTCCTCCTAAGTGGATGGAAACTTTCTACCTGTTAAAAAAATGTAGCTAGTTTTTTAAGGCCCAGTGCAAAAGTTGCTGCCTCTGAAACCCCTTTCTCAGGCTCCCAGTTACTCACTTTTTCTTTTGTGTTATTAGCATTTTGCTGGTTCCATATAGATGTGCAATTAATACAGTGTCTTCATATTATGTATTCTATTACAGTTAAGTGGTGCTCTAGTGTGGGGACATTTTAGCCAAACACTTTTTAGCAAAAAATGCCTTATGCTCAATAATAATTTTTTGATAGGAAAGAACAACTCTTTGTTTGTTTCTAAGCTCACAACCTAAGAAAAGAGTAGTATAAAGTCTCTGTCAGAAGTCAAACATTTCTCAGAAAGGGACTTTTTTAGAATAGAAATGATCCCTTCAAAAGTGGTATGTCTGAGTATCATTTTAGAGGGAACAAGGTTCCTAAGGTAACCAATTCTCAAAGTTGAAATAAATATGACCAACAAAATAGGACACTATATAGACAACAAAAACATTCAGAAGACAAGGGAATCCAAGAGTGTCTAGAATCCAAATTTTTAGTAATAATAACACTTTTAAAAAATTTCTTAAGATAAAAAGCAAAGTTCCCTTTAAAAACAAAATACCTTAGGTTGTACATCATACATTTTACTTACTTGTATGTTTTGGTATAATCTAGCCATAAGCCACAAAGAATGGAGCCCACCATTCCAGCTACTACTAGTGTTAGCCCAATCCTTCCAGCATTCACTTCTTCTCCCTTAAAAGAATTTTCATAAGAAGTTAATCAGAAACTTCTAATTCAAACAGATCCTTCACATTCCTGTACCTTTCCAGTCAATAGAAATAATCAGATATTATTAAGTATATAATAGAATAGAATAGAAAGATTCAGTATGTGTTTTAGGATGGGGGAAGGGTAGGTAAAGCACATACAAAGAACATTGTTTTAAAACCAGAAAAAAAACCAAACCCTATAATAATAATATGGGAGAAATCAAAAAGGAACATTTTCTTGGTCCTCCATAATTAGAAGCACAATGATTTTTGTTAGAATTCTTAAGTAATTCACAGATGAAGTTAATCTGATAGCTTTTACACATTACAGCTGCTTTCTCCTTTTAAAAACAAAGAGAGGTCAGAGCTTGATATTTACTTTGTTATATTTATGTTGGTTTCCCTTAAATTTTTTTTGTCTTTTTCCATATAAGCAGTCACACTATTTCTTTTTAAAAAGAAGACTTAGGTATTGTCAAAGCAATAACTTCTGCTTTCTATTTTATGTGTTTTATGAATTGGATTAAATGTATACTAAATTAAAACAAATTAAATTAAAACTTTTACAGCAACAAGGTGATACTTCTTTAATCTTATGATCATGCTAAAAGGAATTCTATTGCTAAAGAAAAATTTTTGGCCCGGCATGCAACACAATATAGACAGCAACTTACCTCATAATATGTCAGTATTATTTGATTTAATAGTGTTGAAACTGAATAAAACACTCCAGTCATGATACCTACAATAATAAACAGAAAACTATAAATGTACCACTTGCCAGTTTGTGGAGTCCTCCGTGACAACGGTGAAAATATAATGTATTTTCAGATAGTTGACAGAGGAAATTAAAAACTCTTGCCATTCCCTTTCAGGATTTGGACTAATCAATTTAACACCCAAACTCACTAGAGATTATGATAGTAAAATTCTGTCATTACACCCTTTATTATTATTTAGATGCAGATATACCTACCATAAATCACATTCCTACGCATAACACTGGAGATGGCACTCAAGCGATGCATTGCTTACTGAGTGCCTGCAATGTACTTGATGTAATGAATGTTTAAGCAGAAGACAGAATCCCTGCTTCAGAGGTTTTACCCCTGCATCAAAGACTTACCAGGCAACTAGTAAGACAATACCATGTTTCCCTGAAAATAAGACCTAAGCGGAAAATAAGCCCTAGCATGATTTTTCAGGATGCTCGTAATATAAGTAAGCCCTACCCCAAACATAAGCCCCAGTTGAGATTGTCAGCTAGACATGACTGTTTAAATAAATGTAGATTTTTGTACATGAATGAATAAATGCAGATTGTTGGAGCAAAAGTTAATATAAGACCCAGTCTTATTTTCACAGAAACACGATATTAATTAAAGATACTTAAAGAGAAAAATAAAAACAGACTGGTTATCAGGAAGCATATGACTAGGTTTGAATCTTGCATCTATTGTGTAACTTCAGATAAGTCTCTTAACCTAGCTGAGGCTTAAGTTTATTATCTCTCTCTTTTTTTATTATTAAATATTTCAACCATACAAAATAGTACAGAGAAAAATTTAACAAACACCCTTACTCATCGCCCAGCTTTGTCAAACACGAACATTTTGCCACCTTTAGACCTTCCCTAATCCTATTCTTCTCTCCTAGTCTTTCTCAGATGTAACCACAATACTGATCTTGGTCTTTATCTTTTAGATACTACAATATATGTGTTTCCATAAACAATCAGAATTATTCTGCATGTATTGAAACTTGATATAAATAACATATTGTTTGTATCCATCTGCAACTTGCTCTTATCACTCGATATTATGGTTTTGAGATTTATCTGTAAGGATTCTTCTAGTCAGTTTTCTCTGCTGTGCAGAAGTCCATTGTGTGAATACACTTCAATTTAGTTATCTCTTGTCCTGTCAACAGGTACTTACGGCTTTTTCCCGTTTTTCACTATTTACAACAATATGACAATGAATATTGTGTTTTTTGTTCTTACGTATAAGGGTTTCTCTAAGCACATATCTAGGAGTAGAGCTTCTACTTTCTGGATATAGCCAACTTGCTCTTCACAATGGTTGTATCAGTCTATACTACCAGCAGAGTTCTTTTCCTCTGCATCCTTGCCAAATTTGTTTTCCTCAAATTAAAAAATATTTTTTTTGTTTTTGCCAATTTGAACATGTGATGTTATATCTTACTCTGGTTTTGTTCTGTACTTCCTCAATTGCTAGTAAGGCTGAGCATCATATATGAGCAAGACACACATACACAAACACATAAATGCCTTTTGGTTTCCTTAGATTGTTTGCTCTTTTCTTATTGACTAGGAGTTATTTCTATATTGTAGGTACTAAGCCTTTGTAGGTTATATGCATTGCAGACATTTTCTCCGTGTCTCATGTTTTCACTTTTTATTGCTGTCTTTTTGGAAAAGGCCATTATTTTAAGGTAATCATATTTATCAATCTTTTTCTTGAGGGTTTGTGTTTTTGCCTTAAGAAATTCTTTTAAGAAGAAGACTATAGATGGTTTCCTATATTTGCTTCTAAAAGTTTAAAGTCTTGAGTTTTACCCTTTGGTCTTTAATCTACTACAATTCATTTTTGTGCATGGTATGATGTGGAGGCCTAATTTTACTTTGTTTTTTTCCATATGGATAATCGAAATTTACTGTATAGTTTCTCTTTTGCCAAACCTCAAGTTTTTGTTTCTGCGTAATGTTCTAGCCATTAGAGCTGTTGACAAATATTCCAGTTTTTCTTTCCAGGCAGGTGACAGCAAGGCCATCATGACTTGAAATGGGAGCCAAAGGACGTTTCCCATTTTTTGCCTTAGTAATCATGGAAGCAGGTGCCTAGCCACGCACTTGCCATACAACTTCTCTTGTGTTGTTACCTTTTGATAAATAACTCTTACACTGTTGTTTACTTTTCAGATGCTTATATTATGTCCCCAACTGAATTATAATTACTTCAGGGAAGAAATCATATATCATGATTCTTTCTAGCCCACATAGCATCTAGGGTAGTGCTACTGTACATTTAGTTGATATTTGATAATTATTGATGGGATAAATGAATGAATAACGAAATGAACAATATGTAAGGTAAATGTTAAGCTAGCTCTCATAGAATTGCTTAAGGGAAAATAGGAGCACATTTCAGACAAAAGCGATAATGGCACAAAGTGACAGAGACTGGAATTAACAGTGTATAAGCATGTGGAGGTATATTTATGTGAGTGTGTGTCTGTGACAGGAGGTTGGTTATAAATCTGGCTGAAAGAGAATATTGCATTGGGAAATAGGGATAGAGGAAGATAGAAAAGAAGCCACCTTGGATTACAGGCTAAAGAAGTGAATTTGCTCTGTATTAACAGTGAACCACTACAGTTTCTCTACTTCCTCGTTACAAGTTTTATATTTAAGCTATCCAGTAGAGGTAACCAGCAAAATTAAGAAAAGGTACTATGGCATGCTGAAGTATTTAATGAGGAGATGATATAACATCTGGGATTTGCTTTTAAATATTCTAGGAGAAAAGTAGAGGAAACAGATAAAGCAAAATGGGTGAAGTGTTGATAACTGCTGACGCTGAGTGATGGTGGTGGGTACATAGGGATTTATGAGATTAAATGTTCTACTTTAGTGTTTAACAATGTCCACTAAAAAAAAGCGGAGGGGAGGGTGGTGGGAAGTAATCGTGATAAAAGGGTAAGAGTTTAAGGCAGGGCATAATTTGTTACAACTTGTAAAACGATTATGAACTAGGGTGTGCGCTCCCAGAAAACGTAAAGAGAACATCAGCGAGTGACTTCTGAAGGCAAGTCAGACAGAAATAGGGGGGTGCTGGTGGTTAATATGAACAGTGTTAATATAAGAAACAAAGAATAAACTGTCAGAAATCTCTGAAGGGAAGCCAATGTGTTGGTGCCTGCAGTGAAAGCTGCAGCGTTAGTACAAACATGTGCCAGCTACCGCGAAAGGCCAGGGAGGACGAGCATCTTCTTTTTTAAGTCAGAACTGGTTATGGTGCCCTCCTGCGTGTCTAGTTTTGAGTGAGTAGTCTGAAATACATGCCAGTTTGCACAGGGTTGAACAAAAGAGCTGTTGATGACATTTACCATGTGTTTACAGCAGTCATAGCTACAGTTCATAAAGGACCTAAAAATGCCTGCGAGAACTCACAAAAGAAAACAGTTTCTCTACTTGAGATCTCATATTACTTTATTTTAAAAACACGTAAGAAAATCCACGCTGCAGCTTTTGCTTTCAGTTCAACATTTAAGTTTATGCTATCGTTATTTTTAGAGTTAAACTATCTCATTAAGTTAAGTATAAAGCTCAAACCACGAGATTAAGTAAAGAGAATTTACAAGTGCTCATAGGTTTATATAGATATCAAAGACTAGAAAAGAAAACCACTTACCATAAGTGATCAACAGAAGGACAAAAGGGATGTTTTTAAATAGGTTCCATATAGATTTCTTATAGGAGTACTCTTCAGCGGGGCTGTCCTGAATCGCTGCTCGGGCCTGACTGGGTGGATAGGGAGGCTTTTCTTTGAATGCTGGAAATATACAGGAAGAGGTAATTAAATAAACACATCTTCCTCAGCAAACACACTAAATTCAGTTTAGGTTTAAAGAGGTAATGAAAATTTTTTACAGTTGAGGCTTTTCATTTTCATGAATTTCTAAGTGATGACTAGAAAGTCATCAATGTTTGATCATTGTCAAACATTGTCAATGAGTTTGACATTGTCAATCAGTTTGACATTGAAACTGACTAAACCTCAGAGATTTGGCCCATTCAAAACTGCAAAAACATTAATAACATGTTACAACCTTGCCCCTGATCATTCCATTTTTACTTAAGCAAGATTAATTTTTATTATATTAAGTATTCAACAATTCTATTTCTAAATTTAGTTCAACATGTAATTAGAGGTAATATCAGATTGGAGCAAGCCAACATATTACTGAAGTTTCAGAGGACTGTCTTGAGTTAGTAACTATTTTCTTCCAAAATTTGATGTAAATGTTATCGTCTGATCCAATTATACCTCTAGAACTGAAAAGGCCCGGGTAGATTCATGGGAGCAGAGCTAGGTCCTTCTTGCTGACTCACTTTAGCTGCATATGGAAAATCTAGGGGTAAAGCTGAGAGACATAGAAGTGTGATATATGGTTTTGGATTCTATAAGTTCTAGCATAGCTCACTTCTGTGGAGTTAGAGACACATTTCTCAGGCTTCTCAGCCAGACATTTAGAGACTGCCCCTTTGCTGGGCAGAGAAGAATCTAGTAACTTCCTGCAACAGATGGCTAGAGAGAGATCTCTGTAGGGTTTGGCTAGCCAGAAGTCAAGACTACTTGACAGGAGAGCTGAACTGCTAAATTTTGGTACACCAGAAATTAAAATCTAGTTTTAGTACTGACTCAAAAATTTAAACTAAAATAAATGGAAAGTACTGTATTTCATTGAATCTAAGATGGTTTGATGCTGGCACTCAATGATCTTGCCAGATATCAACAGAAGGTTTTCACGTAATCATGTCTCAAATGCCACCAATGTTATACGCCATTGATATTTTATTTTTACTGTGGAAAGAACACTTAGCATGAAACCTACCTTCTTAACAAATTTTAGGTGCACAATATGGTATTGTTAACCACAGAGCTCTAGAACGTGTTCATCTTAGATGCCATTGATGATGAAAGCATCTTGAATTCAGAGAGTTCATGAAACAAAATGTACACTTTAGAATCAATGAAATAGGGTAAATTCAAAAACCAAAAAAGAAAATAAATGGATTCAGAAAAAAATACTATTTTCTAAAAGATTAGAACCTCTTTCTTCTCGCTCTCTTTCTCGTTCTCTCTTTTTAAATAGTGGTTATTTCTTTCTTCCAACATGGAAGACCTGCTCTGCAGTTCCAAATTAGGCTACACATGATGGACCTGATTGTCAATTATAATCATGTAGAAATTTAAGAATAATACAGATTTTAAGATTCTACCCAAGGCTCAAAGAATCAGAACCTCCAGAACAGAACCTGAGAATCTGCATTAAACACAAAACTCTCCAAAAGCTTATCAATACCCAGCCAGGTTTTAAAATCACTGAGAAACACAGAAATGATCTTTAAAAATTCCATATAATACTGTAATTCTCTAATTCTGTTTTCTGCTAAAAATAAAAAAATTAAAAATTAAAATTCTTTATTCACCAGCACATTGATTAATTATGATGTAACAAAATCTTATCAAACTAAAACAGACTTCTATATTTACAGGCCTCAACAACTAATTCAAGAGGAGATATAACTCATAAACATTTACTTTTTAATATCCTTACATTGGAGGGACTGGTAGACATAAAATGTTTAAGTTGTTGCAATTCCTCCTCTTCCTTTCCCCCTATCTGCTCCTTGTACTGTTGAGAACGTCTGTTGTCCTCTCCTGAAAGTGTCCTAGTTGAGATAGGAGATATCTCTTTTTATTAATATTGGTAATACAGAACTCAGACAGTTGTAAAACAAAGTTTCAGAATGTAAAAACTATGCTTACAAGGTAGTCATGAACATTTACTGAGTCTAGAGTCTCTTAGGTTTTTATTTTCTATGGTAAAATATGTCTAAATGGCTCAGATCTGAACTCAAATACAAAATATTGGGTCGTCGGAAAAGCCATGACGTGATTTTGCAACGAAAAACATAGAAAAAATACATCATGACTTTTCCGACAACCCAATCAAAACAACTCTCACTAGGCTTTAACTTGACTAGATTTATTTTCTGAATACAAGTGTTATCTTTTAGTTTCAGGCAGTCACCTGCCCTCTCAAACAAAATCAGGCCTGTACCTACCAGCCACACGATATATTAATAGTCAGGTTGTGCTTAAGTCTATATGAAAGAAAAGAAAAAGAACAAAAAACCATTGGTCTATGATCCTGTTTACACGGTACTGTATTTCCAAAGAATGGAATATGGCTTTTTCTTTATCCTTTGGAACTGGAAAACAATAGCCTTCTTACCCTCTTCTCTTCTCCCCACCAAAACTGGTAACAATAAAATAATTAAGTATTAAAAGCAGTTATTCTCCACCCCTAGCAACAGGCATATAAAGTAGCCAAAGGATTTTGGGGCACCACATTCAAACTTTTTCTCCCACGATAAAGAAGCAACAAATCTACTTTGTTTAGGACCACTTCTATATTTTGAAATTAGATTATAACATTATCTTTCGATTTCATTATTTGTCCCTGTGTGATTCAAGCAGACATTACACATATTAACTTATTTATAATACAAATATAGGTTTGAATCCTGGCTCTGCCTCATATCATATCACTGTATGCTGAAGAAGTCAAGTCCTGTCTCTTGACTATAGCTTTCTCATCCATAAAAAATAAAAAAAAATCAATAAGCTGTTAAGAGGATTATACGACATATTATATGTAAAAGAATTTTTAAATCATTGAGTGCTACACAAAATA